CAGGAGTTGGAGGTTGCTGTGAGCTGTAATGCCACGGCACTCTACCCAGGGGGACAGCTTGAGGCTCTGTCTCAAAAAAAAAAAAAAAAAAGAGTCTTACCCTGTCACCTAGGCTGGAGTTCAGTGGCATAATCACAGCTCACTGCAGTTTCAAACTCCTGGGCTCAAGCGATCCTCCTGCCTCAACCTCCCAAAGTGCTGGGATTACAGGTGGTTCCCAGAAGGAACACATAATTTTAAAACAGCAGTTAGTGTGAAAAAGAAAGGCTGAAAAGTGTTAAGGCCTTATGGGGAAAAGCCAATTGGGAAGGGCCATGAGTTACGACAAGAGGTTCCTCACCTAGTGATACTGCTCAGCAGGTGACTGTGTGACTTCTGTCTATCCCAAGAGCAAAACCATTTCTTTTTTTTTTTTTTTTTTTTTTTTTTAAGGCAGAGCCTCAAAGCCTCAACCATTCTTTGGTTGCAGCCATCATTGTTGTTTGACGGGTGTGGGCTGGATTCGAACCCACCACCTTAGGTGTATGTGGCTGGCACCTTAGCCACTTGAGTCACAGGCGCCGAGCCAGCAAAACCATTTCTAATTTTTCCCACCACAAAAGACTTCAGTGTTTGCTGGGATTTCAGGTGACACTTTGTATCACATGACTGAGCTTGTCAATGGAGAGGTGAGCCCAGTGGAACCCTGAGGGCTAACTCACACTTCAGTGCCCTGGGACACTTGCATGAACCCAGCCAAACAAAAGGGAAGAACAGGAAATACCTGTGTACATTTCACGAGATTTGTACCTTTTTTGTGAAGTAATAATGGGGCACTTGCATCCCCAGAAGAGTTTGGTAGGCAGAAGGCCGAGGGAAGCTGTCATGAAGCAAGAGACCATGTTCTTCGGAAATGAAGAATGACAGAATCATAACTTCTGCCTGGGAGAGAAAGAAAAATATTGTTTAGTTTTTAGTTTGGCAATATAATTTTCTATTTTGCTTCTACTTTCCATTTTCACTGCCAGAATATTTATATATCCAGAGAAGGAGAGTACACAGAGAGTCAATCAGCTCTTGTCCTTGGGGCATGTGACCACCACACACCAGGCTCTACTAGGTGTTCTCAACTTTGGAAAAACCAGCTCATCTTCTGGAATGATGCATCTCATTTATTTTGCAACCACTAGACCCTCCCAAATGACTGGTTTTCTTATAGTAAAGACTAACAAGTCCACCCTGAGTTGGTGACTGAAACCCACAAGAGTTCTTGCGTTTTAAAAGTTTTCCCCTTCAATTTCGTTATTCTGATTTAAAAATAAACAATACCGACAATGAAAAGTGTCTCTCCTCTGCTTCTAAGTAACATACAACCAAGAAACTAAGTGCTCTGCTGGGTCTGCCATGTATTATTTGGAACCAGAAAAAAACAGTACTATGTGCTCTCTGAACAGGAACTAACAAGTCTTACACTCTGCTGGCTGAGCTGCCTGGATGGGTACAGAACAGGAGCCAATAAATGGTGAAGGGAAAGCAAAACCTGTCCTTGCTACTGCAGTGCAAATCTCTGTGATTGCAAATAGTCACCAGAAAACACAAGAACAGGTATTTGATCAAACTGCCCTGATGCAGATCATTACCCGTGTGCTTCTCATTATTCACCTAGAGTCACCCCCACACCTATCTTGAAGAAATTGCAGGATGCCTCTGTTATTTTGTTTCCCCCATTTCGATGATAAAGATGCCACCTTGATATATTCTACCATTCACTGTTTCAGAATCAAAGACTAGATTTGCTCCTGAAAATCTCAGGGTATCAACACTAACATAGGTATCTGAGGGGGTCCAAACTCTTCCTGTCCTGGTAAGGGAAATCCTTTGGCATGGAGTCAGGTCCTCAAGTGTTAGGGCAAACTGCCCTTTCCTGACTTATTTGAGGACCCTACTTGTAAATTCCTCTTGGAATTAATGGGCTACAGAGAGGCACATGTAGAACAGGGGACTTCTCTAGGGACTGTCAGATATCCCACCAGATATAAGACATAAGACTTGGAAAGTGTCAGGCTCTCTCCTCCCACCCACCCCCAGTGGTGGCAGGGAAACAGAGCTCAGGGTTAAATTCTGAGCTCATCATAGTGGAAGTGGGAGGCCCCATAGAGTCTGGGAGCTGGTTGTGGCAAAGGGTGGGGACTGATGTACAGGTGAATCAGGCTGGGTGGGAATCAGCCTTGTCTGATGATGTGGAACATTGTGGATTGAGTGAGGAGTGTGACATGGTCCCTAGGATTTAATCACAGGATGTGCCAACACCATGGGGTTAGTTAGTTCATGTTAACTGTTTCAGTTAAGACTCTCTGCCCTAGTGAGAGACTAACAGTTGGAATAACAAGAGAACCAAAATACAACACTGGGCCAGACTAGACAGGTAGAATAGCAAACCTCAGAGGACATACCCTCCCCACCAACTTTTCTATAGCATTCAAAATAGATTTAGCAATTATAAACACAGAGTAACAGTTTAGATGTCCCAGTGATGCTCCCCCGGTGGGAATCAAGAGGTAGACACTGTACTCCATGTCAATGGACTGTGTGACCACTTTCCCATAAATGCCATTAGGAAGCTCTTAAGTCTGGCAAACAGACTAACAAACATGATGCAGCAGATGGTACCGTGGGGCTGGCGTAGGGCTGCTTGTCTGCAGCCTGCAGCTGGGTGCTCTGTGCTTCTTGCATTGCAGCTTCACACACGAAAAGCCGGGGCTCACTCTCATCCCAATAATGGCTCACGGGAACACGATTTGCCAGTCTCTCATCTGCAAACAGGTAGCTCCTAGAAGAAAAGGGAAGACCTGCTCTTAGCACTGAGGAGAGCACCTTATTACCTGTCATCAACTTCCCTGAACTCATCCAGGGGTCTCCTGGCCAAGACCTCCACTCC